TTATCATTCCATCATTCCTGGTAGTAACTGAAGCACTCTTCAGATCTACGAAAGCACTAAAAAAATGTTTCCATTTCATATTTGAATTCAGATTTTGAATAATGAATTGAATTCAAGAGGGGAAGTATTCGTACTTGTCGTGTCGTCGAGATTATCGTCCTGTACATGGGTTTGCATCAAGAGTCCAACCGTGAATGATTGATCTGACAAATGCTTAAATAGAGTGGGACGAATCAGCAAAATATGGAATAACGATAAGTAGGCGCTACATAGCCCCAAGTAGGTTCGTCAAAAAATATTATTTTCGTAGCAAAGTGACAGTTGTATTATTGGTAGTGAGTGCAGTTCTATGCGATGAACCTCGCAGCCACAAGCAAATAACTTACTAGTAGTAGTTCAGCTGGACAATTATTTAAAAAAATCATGCTGTCCCAGAGTGGCTGCCTGATAGCGACAGCAGTATACCTTCCTGTGGCAGGAAATTCACTTTCAGCAAAGTCGTTATTGCTATCATAGGATTTCATGGTATACAAGAGATTCATTCCTTTCGTGAAATTACTTAGTTAACCGAGACGCAAAGCAGGTTAGCTATGATCTCGAGACAGGAATGAAACTTTCTACCGAGGTTTTATACTATTTTATTCACAATCATCATATTTTTGAATCAAAATCAATAAATCTCTGTTTCGTTCTGAACGTACCTAAGAGGTGTGTAATGTGACCCTTACCAACCTTGAATGACGTTAGTAATGACTTCATCACAAATATGGTTGTAAATAAAACGATTTCTCTGGTCGAAGATAGAACATATTATGGTGTGTCCTAAAGTAAATAGTAAAACAAAATTATCATCGGACGTGATCGAATGGAAGAATTGATGAATGTTTCTGTCATCAAAGTTCAACAATTCGCCAGTATGTCTATAGTTACGATGATTAATTTAACATTTAGCAACACTGGATCTGCAACATTTCAGCATTCAAAAATAAACTCCAATCCGACAAACTATAACGAATTTAAAAATAGACAGACTCATCCATCGAATTTCAATTTTAATTTTGCGATCATTGTTATTAGATCGTACCTACAGCTTCCTTCTCAGTGCGATTAATTTCAGCGAAAAAAATGCAAACCAATTGGAAGAGAAAAAAATATCAGAAAGATATACTTGTGATGGGCTGAATTGAAGTACTTATTATAATTATTTGGTGACATAATTCACATGTTATGAGAGATTACCAATGATAATATAACCTCACAAATCTATTATTAGGCCAAAACATTTAATATATTATTATATTATATTCCAGCGTTATAGGATTATTTTCTGAAAAATAACACGTTTAGAATGTGGAATAAAACGTTATTTTTAGTGTCCGTTCTTCACTCCCACATACAAGTATTTTGAATCGAGTTCTGTTGTAAATGTTTTTGAAGAGTCACAGGTCCAGAAAATCTATGTGAAATGACCAAGCCAAACAAGTAGGTGAAATTGTCTGAATTGGAGATTTTCTGACACAGCACATCGTGTTCTATGGATATCGAAATACCACCAATAATAACCATATCCACATCATATATCTACCAACGAACATATCGAGTTCTTTTTCTTTAATTCTCGTTCAATTGTATCCGAATCAGGGCCGAATTCAAGCATAGGTGACAAAGGCGCGCGCCTTTATAGGGGCCCCCACCACAAAGGGGCCCGCACAAAAAATAAACAAAATAATTTCACTTGTCATGTTTTTTTAACATAGATAGTACGTTCTACGTGCATACTCGATACAATAAGCTTTTGCATTTTTCCAATCAGTTTTATGTGAATATGAGAAAATTGAAAAAAACATTAGTAACGAAAGGGGGTAGAAGTGACGTTATGAGTATAGTACACTCAGGAAAATTTCTATCAACCATAGTCAGAAATCGAATCATCCCAGCAAGAAACTCTAATAGCATAGGGGACAAGCGAGTGCATCTGTATATTGCTATTAGTTGATGTTTCTGTAGAAGGTATCTGACTTTGTTACCGCTAGTGAGTGTATCTAATAATGGGAGTAGGGCAATGTTATAACCGTAGGTAGGGAACTTTGCTACTCTTGATGGGTGATCATATAGATAGTTGCATGACCTTCTCACTGTAGTTATTCAGTCATTTTCCAGGATTAATGTCATCAAGAAAGGTGAAATTTTGACTGATATCCAATTTCACTTTCCATAATTTCCACCCTGATGTTCGGTATGAATAGCAATTTATTGATTCCTAAAGACAATTTCGGACCAATGATCTTTGAAATCCAATAAATCAATTGATTCATGCACCCTCAAGAAAAACAAAAGGTTTTTGAGTAATTGATGATAAAAAGGATTTTTCTGAAACTTTCTGAATCCATTGTATTTCGAAAACTACAGATGCGTAATGGAAAATAAAATGTTACAAGTAAAATCATTCATTTTATTTCATAACCTAGACATTTTTGCTCACAATAAGTTTTTAGACCACATTATATAGAGAAGCTCTGGAACATATTTGACAATTTTAAAGTTTCATGGTACCAAAGAGACGGAAATGTTGAATGTGGAATATTTGATATTCAGTAGAAATACCTCGAAAAAACTCACCTTCATCATTCCATCAATCCTGGTAATAACTGAAGCACTCAGATCTACGAAAGCACTGAAAGGGGCACAGAAGATTTTTTTAATTGTTTCGAGATTGTCGTCCTGTACATGGGTTTGCATCAAGAGCCCAACTGTGAATGATTGATCAAGCAAGATGTCTAATAAATGCTTATATAAAGGGGGACAAATCAGCAAAATATTGAATAAAGATAAGTAGGCGCTAAATAATACCAAGGAGGTTCGTCAAATATTATTTTCGTGGCAGACTGACAGTTGTATTATTGGTAGTAAGTGCAGTTCTATGCGATAACCTCGCAGCCACAAGCCACTAGTAGTAATTCAGCTAGACAATCATGAAAAGAAATCATGCTGTCCCAGAGTGGCTGCCTGATAGCGACAGCAGTATACCTTCCCGTGGCAGGAAATTCACTTTCAGCAAAGTCGTTATTGCTATCATAGGATTTCAAGGTGCTGCTTCTATTCGAAAATGTATTACGGTAATATGATTTCCTGTAATGGTAGCAAGATATATCTCAGTAAAATATTTAATAGCACAATTGTCCTCGGTGTACCTTTCCCTAACGGTGACTATCAGAAAGATCATTCACTAAGCTGAAGATGATCAAGAACAGACTCCAGACCTCTATGTTCGATCGAACTATAAACTGTTTTGACTTGCTTGGTATAGAACATGACATTCTGCGACAAGTCAACCATGAGAATATCATAAACCCCTTATCATTATGAACAAGCTTAGACGACAGAAACCAATCAGCAAGAGTGACTGAAGTGAACACGATTAGCAGTACATTGAATATTTAAAAAAATGGATTATGAATAAACCTATGATCTAAAGAAGAGAGAAGTACTTGATATTGACTTAATCTTTTCTTGTTGACTAACCAATGTACATCAAAGTGTTAAGGTTATCTTAACTTTCGTGGCGTATCTCATCCGACAATAATTTGTGTTACAAACCAACGATGTGAAAGCTTCCTTTAAAAAAATCACCATTTCGCACCTAATTTTTCAATTGTTGGGGGATATTCCATACCGCCCAATGCCCCCACGAGCCCAGAGTCCGCACCACAAGTGGAGCCTAGAGCCTGTATTTTCCAATTCCGCCCTTGATCCGAATCGAGAAATAGCAGTCATTAGTAAATTGTGATTGATGAAGATCAGACAAAACATTAACATTACCCAAACATGAAGTTGAACCAAAAAAAAGTACAGGTTTAGATGTGAGAAATTAATTCTTGTCCAAACTCGATGCTCAATAATTGTTCACTTTCCCAAACTTTCAGTATCTTTGACTATAGAAGAGAGAATAGCTCGTTAGCTTCTCAATTTCAAACTTGAAGTTGACACCGAAAATTACATGCAATAGATAGTGGTTTCCATGTGAAAAATTATTTATCGTCCAAGAGCGATGCTCAATAATTGTTCCTTTTCATTATTTCAATTTGAAGTGCAGTATTTACTGTTATCTTGAGTATAAAACAATGTTGTTTCTCTAATGAAAAATTGAATGATTATTAATCAGAAATCACTAATGATCGACCCTGTTTAGCTCCTTCCTCGACTCATGAAACCATCCTATACTGAAAAGAGAAGAAGATATTACTTTGAGCTTTGAGTCATTCTTATTCAATCCTTCCTTCATGTTTTGGATTCAATGCATCTCATTGTTGAACAATGAATTTTGAATACCACCCTTGATTATATACACTTACTCAAAGATACTACTATGAAATAGGCTAGAACATCAAGTTCCAGAAAAAATTCTATGACGTTTATTACGTTGAGAAAAGGCCTACTCGATTGGTATTCATGTCAGCAGAAAACTTGTAGAATGGATGATAGGGGCAAGAACTATGTTGATGACATTTGAATATCAAATCATCAATGAATACCAAATCATACCGACAGTTCGCATTTGAATCGATTCGAAAATTGAAAAATATTTACTTGATATTTCATTAAAATATAACAGCTGGCAACACAGGGCAATGTATTGTGACGTCGTTACTAGATACACGAGAGTAGTTTACCTAACAAGTGGGGAAAGGTATGCTTTGCCGGACTTGTAATAGGTACAGTGTATTTTTTACTATAGCGTGCGGGACAACCTCATCAGTTACCAAAAATAAACATATTAATTATTTTCAATATTAATATCGAAAGTGCGATTCGTAGAATTCTGCAAATTAATTTCAGAGGCTGAAATATTTTCTAGTAGTGCGTAAAAGTGACTCCTCCAACACTGAAATGGCTGCGGCAAAGTGGAGTTTACCGCACGCCAGTAGAAAAGAATTGTGCATTCATGTTATATGCAAATTTGAATCGAATTCTTGCATTTAATTGTTGCTTTGTTTTTTCAGATGCTCGTAGCTGTACTACTTGCGACCGTGTGCTACAGGAATTGGAACAAATCGATGACGATACAGACAGTTTTGGTGTGGACTTCGTCAAAATCAACGACAAACGACTGGCGAAACAATATGGCATCACCAAATTTCCAGCGCTCACCTACTTTAGGGAAAAACAACCGATCATCTACGAAGGTATTGACTATTTCAAAAATATCGGAATGAATAATATGATAGAATTGGCCTACTATACCAATATGTAATGATAAACATGAAACCATTGATATGGGTTTTGCCATGTTGGGTACAAGTACGGATAGGTATAGATATCAGTGTCGTATTTGAGGTCACTTTACTGAACTACTGCGGTAAAGTGATGAATTATTGTTCTGAGAATCAATTTTATCATATGTAATACCACAAGTGATAATATTTTGCCGGAAATATTAGGTGATTGTTACGACAGCTTGTTGCCTAGTAATTTCGTGAATGACATTGTTATCAAAACTACGAGCCGTAGGCGAGTAGTTTTAGATCAATGTCATGAGCGAAATTAGAGCAGCAAGCACTAGTATGTCAGTCGACGAATATTTCTAGGAAAAATAGTATCACGAGTTACTTAGGTTATTGAATCCAAAGCAATCTTGACCAGACACGATGTCAAAATTTTATCGCTGATAAACGAGGTTTGTTGGTCACGTGTGGGTCAATTCGGCTTTTGTATTGGTAGAGCAAGTCCGATAAAATTTAATAAACATAAAAATATCGTTAGAATACAGAAGGAACCGTGAAAATGGTCGATTCTGATTGGTTCTCGAGATCAAGAGTGGAATAGTCAATCAAAAATACGAGGTGATTCGAAAGTGAGCGGCATCCTTCCAGGAGCGTATTCCTTGCATGAAAATAGGACAGGAAGTTCCTTTTGATAAGGGTCCGAAAATTCTTCCTAATGCTACTTAGCTTACTTCGAAAAGGATACCACAAAGACGATTTTCTCTCTATAGCTTTGAAATCCTCCACGATAAATTTTCGAAAATGGGTGTACGGCTTAAATATTTGATGCTACATGAGACTATGAATTCAGAATTCCGAAATTCCATTCAGGGGCGTCACATGGAAGGGAGGGTAAGTGTAAAAACATCCCTTCTTCTTTTGATATTCAGGTTATTGTGATTTCGTTTGAAAACTATGAAATTCGAGAGTTTTTTACGTAGAAAAGGTACTTATTGTAGTTAATTTCGATAGAGCGTACCATTTAGGAGGAAATCGACTTTGAAAACTTTCTGATTTGCGTAAATCACAATAACCTGAATATCAAAATAAGAAGGGATGTTTTTACACTTACCCTCCCCCGCATGTGATGCCCTCAAATATAATTTTGGAATTTCGAATCGAGAGTCTCTTTGACCAATTGACCATCAAATGTTTATGACTTACACCAATTTTCAAAAATGTATTGTGAAGGATTTTGAAATTATAGGGAGAAATCGTCTTTGAAGTGTCCCATTCAAAAAGGCGTAGCTTCCTTAGAAAGCATTTTCGGACCCTTATTAATAGGAACTTTTTGCCCTATATTCATGCAAGGAATACGCCCCTGAGAGGATGTCGCTTACTTTTGAATCACCCTGTATAGTGTTATGATAGGTGCGATAAATTGTTTGAAGAAATATAAAATTGATTCTCAGGTCAAGTAGGATATAAAACTGGCTCTATGAGCAACATAAACATATCTACCTTCATCAATTTCATTCGGAAACGTAAAATCGAAAAATTTCACATTCATAACTGAAATATGATTATTTTCATCATAGAATGCATGTATAAGTTGATTCTCTAAATTCTATTGGCACTGTGCTCTTGACTTCAAACGACGGTAAAAATTCTCGAAATGATGAATGATTGTTCTTTGAGGACCACCCTGTATTAACGTATAGGTTGATCATGCATCATGTCAAGATTGTTGACCTTCGTTTGAACCAGAATTACAAGAAATATCAGTAAATAGAAATTAGTGCATAACATTTTTGCATTCGTTTGTAGAAATATTCATATTTCAGTAATGAGTGTGACAATTCCAAAAACTCCAAAATCATTCCAAGAAAACAGATAGGTTTTTTGCCTCAGAAAAGGATAGAAAAATGTCCCTTCGAAACGGAAGACCTTTGAAATTTTTGACGAATTGCACAGCTTTGATTATCATGAAGATTCTCATTCTGAAGAGATGCAATAATTAGAATAATTATAATTGATCAAGCAATTTCGATGTATCGTTTCTAGTGTTGAGCAGATTGAAATCGTTATAATCTTATTACGATATTTGATGAGTGACCAACAATTATATTACGATATTCTGAATATCAATCAATCAATCGGTGCTTTTGGACCCACTTAGTCAAAAAAGAAAAATGAAGAATATAACAGTACAGTACAAAATATGATATGTATGACTATACATAATGTATAGGAAGTTATCATTCAAAATTCGTATATGACACACAAAAACAAGGCATAAACAAAACAATTACAGATGCATACATAATAATATACCTTACAATATAATTGAATGAATATAATATAAGAACACTTATTATTACACATAATGATCTGAGATTTTTCCTATGGGCCCGTCATGTCGAGTGGTATTTTGCTAGAATTTTTAACGATGCATGTGAAGTATTTTTCATGAGCAAGAACAATCCTTTCTAAATGAGCGACCCATTCAAACGTATTCAGCTATAGTTATTTTTTGCTAAACGTCAAACTTTACTTTGCCCACCATGGTTACATCACTGAAAATATCGACGCTGTGAGACCATCCAAATTCGAGAAGAACTTTATGTTTTCGAGATGAAACTTTTTTCAAGAGCATTGAAAGCATTTATTATAAATGAGTAAGTCATATAAACAAAGCTATTCAGTAGTGTTCTCTCGGTCGGATTATGTTAGAAATCCAAGATGAGTGGAATAGTCCCAATGATATTATGAGTTATCTCTGGTTTGGGATTGGTAAGATCAAGTGAGAATTTCAAATTGAGAGTGAAAGTTAAACTCAGAAAAGTTTTTCATCCCATATCGGAATATGAATCTTCATGATACTTTTATCCTCGATATATATTACACATTTTCTCCAGGGGACCTAATGGATGAAGACAATGTATTGGATTTCCTTACTAGCTTGGAAGCAATGGATTTGCCTGATAGAATTGAAGAAGTCAACTCGAGAATTTTGGATAAAATTGTAGAAGAAACTGAATTCGTTGCTGTTTTGTTCTGTAAGTAATTAACATATTTTTATAAGTCGTTTCCATAGTATTTGAATCTCACACAATTAGACCAATAGTTAGATTTTGATTGTTAGTACATATTGCCCAATAACCAATGTATGTTCTCTGTGCAGATACTGAAACAAATGATTGACATTTCCAGAATCTAAAATAACTACCCCCCTTATGTTATTATAGATTGCATACATGATGGCATGAATGACTGTGATATATTAACCACTTGGGTCAACTCAGAGCGATACTGATCACTGATCATTTCTGAGAGATTCTAGTAAAATCTATAAATGGAACTGATGGCATTCTTCCTTTGGAATTTCGAAGGAAACATTGATGATGGCTAAAAATAGTTCGAAACACATTCAATTAACCACCTTGTATGATACATGGTTGAATTCAGAATGGTAAAAGCTTTTAGAATCTGTGAAAGAATTATCAGGGCCGTATTTAAAAAACAAAAGTTGATGTTGATGGTTCTACAAATACGAAACGTCGCATAGAGAAATCGGTATCACCACGTTAAATGTCATCAAAAGTAGCTATAGAAAAGTATTTTCAGTTTTCCTGTATCTCTAATAATAACGGAGAAAAAAAATAAAATAGAGATTTCAAAAATTCACTTTTCTCGGTATAACTGAAAAACTGAAGAAAATTTTGAAAATTTTCGAAGGCTGTTGGTATGAGCCTCCGAATGCGCAATTTTTTCCCCTTTTAACCGACTTCGTATCTCCTACCGTTTCCGAGATCCCCATGCTGTGCAACCTTATCTTGGACAGACTGTATGGTTGGCGTATGTTGATTTTATTTTCTTTTTCAAAAAATTCATCCTATGTTCATGAATGCGCTGATTGAACGTACGACCTGTCTGACCCATGAATACCTAAGGACAAGATCCACAATTGATTTTGTATACCCCTGAGTTTTCGAATTCAGAAATGTTCACTTCATTATTTTTGATAAACCTTCCCAACGTGTTATTTGATCTATATGCTACTTTTAAGTCCTGTTTATGAAGAAATGAAGCTAATTTTTGAGTTGATGATCCGAAATAGGTTGAAGTTCTGAAATTTTGATTATTATTCTTGATGGTAGGATGAACTTCTTGACTAGCTTTAGTCATGAAGATTTTTAGAAAGAATACTGTCTATCAAATTAACGTTGTATCCGTTGTTGACTGCAATCAGTTTTATGATATTAAGTTCTTTATTGAAGTTCACTATCGAAAGGGGGACATTCACTAGTCTGTACTAATACTGTGTATCATACTATTATATGGTGCAATTTTATGTTGATGAGTCTGGAAAGGTTTAAAGAAAATTGAAATATCATATTTATCATTAATTTTACATATTGTCAAATCTAAGAAATTGATCGACTTCACTGTTTCTATTTCCATTGTGAACTTCTTCATATTTGCCATGGATTTCCATCAATTCAGAAAAAGACAAAGTTTTCAGTTAGGATTTTCACATACGATGTCAATTCTGTTGTTCCTCGAATTTATTGAGTTTAAACCTGACTAACCCTGTATAAAGAATGTACAACATGTTTCAACCACTTATATAGGTCCAGATGCTGACAAGTGTGCCAAATCTGGAGGCAGTAAGTACATTACATAGTGAATTCATTTTCCAAACCCAGTGACGTCCGGTTTTACAGCTAACACACTGTGAGCACCATCCATCAGAAGGCATACTTTTCACCAGAATAATCTCCACCTGAGAATCTTTACAGAAAATGGACCCGCCTAAGCGCTAAACAATTTGCCAAACTCTGTTATGGCGCTGCTAACACACGCAGTACTTGTGCCTTACCTTGAAAATATTACTTCAATTACTCTCCTCAAATGCTATTTTTTCAATAGATAAACCTGAGTGCAAGAAGTGTTCCAAAGTTTTACTGGAACTTGAGAATATCGACGATGAAGCTGATCAACTTGGAATAGGATTCGTCAAGATCAACGATGAAAGCTTGGCTGATGAGTACAATTTGGGAACATTACCAGCACTTGTATACTACAGACATCAGATCCCAATCATCTACGAAGGTAGGTCCATGTTTTATCGAAGAAACTATCCCTTATAGAATAGTTTATAGTGAACATCAACTTCAAGCTACCCATTCAGTTCATTTAGCCTTATTTACTAGATTAACAAGAAGACCAATGTGCAACAGATTTCACAGAGATGATGAATCGAATCAAACTCTTTTGTCTATAGTTTTCACATTATTATTATCTGACTGAACAAGTAATTCAACGTACAGCTTCATGTCAATGATGATCAATTATATATTGAACATCTTCAATAGTATAAACTTCCAAAAGTAATCTCTAGAAGCTCAATATTTGATTCAGCTCATCACATTATAACTAACTTGTTAGTCCAAAAATTTGATATATATATAGTTTATGAGTTGAGGATGAAACTCTTCTTTGATTGGCTGCTACTAGAAATAAGTCTCTAGGCTCATGTACATTCTAGCTCAGTAGAATGAGTCACTGAAGTTTATATTCCATTCGTTCGTAAATTGAAGCATACTTCGAATATTATCTGTAAATATGTCATTAAAATTCACTAATGAATCATCGGATATAAATTCAGAAGATAGTAGGTATTTTTCAACTGACACTATCAAGTAGATATTGCACTATTGGGAACTCACTAAGTCAGAGTGATGTTGTTTCCTAGCATAAGTTACTCTACCATAAACTTGATTGTCTTCATCATTTTCGTTCACTTCGCAGGGGAATTAACAAAAGAAGAAGATGTCTTGGAATGGTTAGTTCAACACAAGAGCACTGGAGACGAAGACGATATAATTGAAGATGTCACCATCAAAACTCTCACCACTCTCGTATCTAGCGTTGACCACCTTGCAGTCCTTTTCTGTAAGTACCTTACCTCAAAATGCCTTCAATGATGTATTGATGAGTATATGCTCTGCAGATGATCATGGAGATGAAGATTCCACCCAGGTTCTCGATGACCTTGAGCATATCGATGATGATTGCGACAAATATGGCATTCAGTTCGTGAAAATAGACGACCCACATGCAGCCAGAGATTTTGGCTTAGACACTTTGCCATCGGTGGTCTATTTCGAGAAAGGCATTCCTAACGTTTACGACGGAGATTTGGAAGAAGAAGACGACATCCTCGAGTGGTTGGTACAGCAACTAGAAAAAGACGAGATCGAAGATGTCACAGATGAGATGTTGGATAAGCTGATTGCCGAAGGAAAGAATCTTGCAGTGTTATTCTGTAAGTATCGTAAGGACATTCATCCCTCGCCACCCAAATGACGTTCCATCCATTGATTATCATGTCGTATACCTAATTATCGTTGTTATATCATATGCTATGAGGTGATCTGAAGCACCGGCAACGGCATTCGTCAGCCCAAAAGTGGGGTAATCCGATCGACTCTGCATATGTTCTTCAATTTCGGTTCGGTTTGCGTTTTCGCAAACACCTTTTACATATTTTATTGCCGTTCTTGGTTAACCCACTCGTCGGAGGCGGATGACCGCGAAGTGGGCAAAAATTACCAGAACGGACCTTAAAATTCGAGGAAAAAGCCCGTAGATCTGAGAAAAATGTTCCTTGCCTTCCCGTATAATCTGGGGAAAATGACTAGGAATTTTGAAAAATGCGGGGGAACTCTTGTAGCGCCTATTCTAAAATAATTATAGAATGAGGGTTGGCAAGTACGTATATTAGCTACAAAAGCGTGACGTTGTTAGAAACGAACTATGAACCAGATAACAAATCCTTGGTCAATTCTCTGAAGAACAAACTCTATCAATCTGGTACTTGACAAAACCAGCCTGATTTTAAGACGTCGCCAACTCGTCACTGCAACGTCAAGTATCTATTAACATTCTCAATACTCTTATGAAATACAAATAATATAAGTCAACGTTATAGTGACGTCACTAGGTTTCATTAAATTGTTTTTTTACGACCTGATCATGATTTGTGGAGGTACCGTATGGCTTCAGTTGAAATTCTTATACTTTTGAATCGCAGAAGAAGTTAAAATTATATTGTGATTTCCTATTGCAGACGATGACGATGATAGAAAATCTCAAAAAGTCCTCAACGAACTGGAAAATATTGACGACGAATGCGATAAGCTTGGAATCGTATTCGTAAAAATCGATAACGACGAAGAAGCGAAAGAATACGGAATCGATAAAATACCATCCCTCGTTTACTTCGAGAATGGGATTCCGACCTTGTACGAGGGAAATCTCGAAGATGAAGATAAGGTTCTCAAATGGTTCGAGCACCAGGTGAAAAGCGATGAAATCGAAGATGTCACCGATGAAATGTTGGATATCATACTGGCCAAGAGACAATTCGTTGCTGTTTTGTTCTGTGAGTCCACAATCTGTAATACACCATTATTCCGTTCCCAAACGAACTATCTGGCCCGAGGACATTTGTTGCAGTCGTTCTGAGCTATGCGCGTATATACAGTACATATTTTTTGTTTTTTTTGCTCACCTCTAGCTACTATTATGTACTTACATTCTCTCAGTATCTTTTGTATTTTTTTGTCGGTTTAGTAGTTGCCGTGACGACAAAAGCGCTACCTACCGCGTCCAATTTTCAAATCATCTACGAAACTATCGAAATACCCATATAAAATTTCAACCCAATCGGTTCAGCCGTTCAGAAGTTATTTTTTATTTATTTAGTCATTTATATTTACACAGGCCTCTTGGCCTAATTGAATGAATATATAAGTAGATATAACAGAAATACAGTTGATATTTATTATTATAGAAAGATTCGGAAGATAAAAAAAAATCAGTAGAGTTGTAGGGGACAGCAATACAAAATTCGAGGTGTTATTAACATTTTAGTACTTACATGGATCAGTATGATAACATTTGTTGAATAATCACTTTTCTGAATCTATTGAATGTCATAGACCGTCTAGATAAGTTAATGAATTTGTATAATCAGCTAATTTGAGCATGTTTGCAAAAGGATAATGGGATGTTGTGGATATTCTGCGAGCCCACACATGAGAATGAATTAGAGCTAAGAGGTCCGAAGAATGGATCTGATAATCTTCAATTTAGTACAAGAAATTGAGCTTAGATGATCGAATAGTCATAAAGTCGAGCAATCTCATATACTTCTTGAAATAAAGATGACTATTTTGAACTTTTTCTAAGGATTTCAGGGTATCTGGCGATTCTTCATTCCAGATTCCTGAACTAAATTCAAGTTTAGACCTCACAAGAATGTAGTATAACGCGATTAATGTTTTCACATTTCTAAAGTTGAAACATTGTCTAATAACAAAGAGAATCATCAGCTATCTTATAATCAAAAATTATTTGCTCTTTAGCACGAGATATTGTCATTACTAAGCATTTTTCAACGTCAAATGGTAATTTAAATTCATCGTTATGTAAAAAGTATAGGTACGCCTTTGTTCATCAGGGACTATTTTGGCTTCAACTAGTGATAGAATTTTTCAAATCGGTCCAGTAGTTTTGGAGCCAATTCAATATTAACAATCCAACAATCGAAGCTTTTGTCTTTATAATATTGATGTAGATGATTCAATCTCTGAATCTTTCTCCTACCAGATGAGAAAAATCAGAAGAAGAGTCAGAAGGTCCTAGCTGAATTAGAGAACATTGATGATGAGTGTGACCAGAACAACATCGTATTTGTGAAGATAGACAATCCGGATGAAGCCAAGGAGTATGGCATCGACATCATTCCCAGTTTGGTCTTCTTCGAAAAACAAATTCCACACCTTTACGAAGGTGATCTGACCAAAGAAGAAGAATTGCTTGGTTGGTTGCTTCACCAAAAGAGGCACAGTGAGATTCCAGACATTACCGATGAAATGATGGATCTACTCATCGAGTCACAGAAATATTTGGCAGTTCTTTTCTGTAAGTATTGAGAAAATTTTTTCTATCTCATGTATGTCTTATCAGTTGGTCATCTGAATATGAACCACTGGAAATGGGGTAATTCCTGTCTCCTGAGTTGAATATGTGGATATTTTCAGAATTTGCCTCCAGGAGAACCTATATCTCCAGCAGGATTCTTCTCCTCTCTCTTTCATATTCATGATTCTTGATGATGTGAGACGAATCACAATCAGTTTTCTATCAGTAGGTTAGGTACCTACCCAAGAAGGTCTCAACACATATTCATTCTGAGCTCAATCCTGAGCGATGTTCGTCTTGTTGCTCTTCTCAAAGATATATTATGAAAATCCTTTCAATAGTCCTGGAATCAAATTGTCAAAACCATATAGAATAGAAGCTTTCAGGATCATGATGTCTATCTAGAAACTGAACTCAAATTTGAATTTAGTCATTGATTTTTATCCACTGCTCATTCTGAGACCATACCTGTGGATTCCCTTCTCATATCATTTCGTAACCAGTTTAAGAGATCTGTGTGAAGAAAAAATCTCAGGCATACAGGAAGACCAAATTCTCCACCTATTCCGTTTCAACTAAACTACGCAACAGTAATTTCGCCGCACCCCAAAATTTTGCCTCTGTTGAAATATCAATTGTTTTTTTCTTCATCGAACGATTTGATCGGATCACACTGTTCGCTAGCCAAGTCATCCAGCTATAATCTCGTAATTCTTTGAAACACAAGGGTCTTTACATGAAATCGCTACAGGGTGTTACCTGGAACTGTGCAAAATTTCCGAAATTTCAAAAGTATCCCAAATGAAGAAAAACTTCTTTTTCAACTTTGACAAGCGGCATGTAGATGATCTCGTTATCTTGAGACAATTCTCGAACTGGCTCCTCATCCCTTTTACTACAGAGTGATCTCAAAAAACTAACTTTTTGGTTTTGCAGTCATAACTTTTTTCCTCGTCAACCAATTTTCGAAATCTCAGGCTCATTTTGAAGCTCAAACTTCAGATGGAGAGATTTGAAGATCAGAATTGACTCAAGATGAACATTATCCAATGTGTCTCACTTTCAATGGAAGCGCTCCTGTATCTTTCGTAATTGTGGAGTTAGGATTCTGAAATTTGAGAGAGCGGTAGATATACTGAAAATACACACTATCACGAAGTGAAGTCGTCTCCAGTGATATACACTGCTCGCCAACAGCCATGGAACCACCCACAAAAATGATATAAGGAGGCAAGATATGTTGAAAATCACTCCGGATTCAAAATCAGGACGTCCCTTTTGCTTCCTCCTGCAAAATTCAGAACCCCACCTCAATAATTACGTGAGAGACTGGGGTGCTTCCATGAGAAGTGAGACAGAATTACATTTTTCTGAACTGGAAATTTTCCAGGAAAATTATATATGGTCAGTGGATTGGACGTCCCCATTTCGAATCCGAAGTGATTTCCACCCTATCTTGGCTTCTAATCACATTATTCCGGAATTTTGGGTGTTTCCGTGGATTTTGGCGAGCAGTGTTTATCAATGGAGATGACTCCACTTGGTAAAAGTGTTTATTTTCAGTATATGTCCCGCTCCTGTGAATTTCAGAATCCTTACTAAAAAATTACGAAACATACAGGGGTGTTTCCATTAGACGTGAGACACACTGTTTAATGTTCAACTTGAGTTTATTCTTATCTTCATCTGAATTCTCAGCTGCAAGATGAGATTTTGAAAATGAGTTGACAAGGAAAAAAGTTATGACTGCAAAACCAGAAAGTAAATTTTCTGAGATCACTCTGTAAAAAAGAGATAGGAAGACAATTATTCGAGCAATGTTCCTAGGTAATGAGATCATCTGCTGTCGAAGTTGAAGAAAAAAGTGTTTGTCCATTTGGGATCCTTTTGAAAATTCCGAAATTTTTCACAATTCCAGGTGATACCCTGTAGCGATATTATATGAAGAACCTCATGATAGGTAGTACATGATTATAGCTGAAGGACTGGACTAGCGAACAGTGTGTTTATATCATATTTCATTTTCTATCTGGCTCAGTTTTGTCAAAAACAGTCCACTTTCCATACATTCTCGAGCACAGTAGTGAAGATCTTACTTTTTGTTATTGTCTATGTCTATTGTAGATGATAAGGATGACAAGCAAGACATACGAGTGCTCAACGAACTCGAGAACATCGACGATGAGTTAGAGAAAGAAGGCATCGTCATAGTTCGGATCGACAACGACGCTGAAGCCAAAGAGTTCGGCATAGACCACCTCCCCACGTTGATCTACTTCGAGGAAAAAATCCCCTCAATCTACGAGGGAGATCTTATGAACGAAGACGAGGTACTCAAGTGGCTCATCGAACAAAAGCAAACGGCAACCATAGAGGAAGTGACCGATGAAATCCTGGAAGATCTCATCCAAGAACACGAATACGTGGTCGTTTATTTCAGTGGCAACTGCGAGGAGGGGCAAGAATGTGACGATATTCTCGACGAACTCGAGAACATTGACGACGAGCTAGACGAAAACGGAATCATCTTCGTAACAACTGAAGACTTGGTAACCGCGAAGAAGTATGGTATAAAAAGCTTCCCCAAGTTGGTTTTCTTCAGGAATAAAGAACCTTTAGTCTACACTGGAGACATCGGAGATGAAGACGAGGTCCTCGCTTGGTTGACTGACGAAAACACTCTCGAGATCCCTGACAGAATCGAAGAAGTAAATTCCAAAATGCTGGACAAAATACTCAGCGAGAATGAACACGTTGTCGTATATTTCTGTAAGTAAAACTCCCCCAGAATATATGCCAGGGTCAACTTGATATTATTTTTCAGATAAGGAAGGCGATAAGAGATCCCAGAAGATATTGCAAGAACTCGAAAATATCGATGATGAATGTGAAGACAAAGACATCGACTTCATCAAAATATCTGACGACGGTATCCAGAAAGAATACGACCTGCCATCTTTACCAGCTGTGGTCTTCTACAGGAACAGATTCAGAGAGATTTATACCGGCGATTTGATGCACGAAGAGGCCATTTTGGATTGGATACTCAAGTTGAGAGATTCTGAGCCTGACGTGATCGAAAGCGTTGATCGGAAAACTTTACAGGTGAGATATACAGGGTGACGCATCAACAATGGTGTTGGCAATCTGCGATTCCTATTTATATTTTATGCATGAGAGGTGAATAAACTACTACCTACGACCTAAGATCTATTGTGCCCTCTCTTTCTGCTTCAGCCGATAAGGTAGTAATTTCTCTAGTCCATCATCCTCCAGAAATTTCTGGTAATGAGGTGGTTCCAGGTAGGAAAGCTCTTTCCTCTTTATCATAATATGTACTCCTGAATTTCTTGCTCTTGGGTTCTATGGGGTGACATTCTGTAAGTATGTCTAAAGAGGTTTACTCGTTTCCCCACAGAACTTGCATTTATCTTTCTCTCCTAATCCTTTCAACCGGCAGTGCTCTATCAGGACTCCCTTCAGTTTTGTTGAAGCTGACATATGCGTTTGATCTTCTGTGGTTTTATGTACCCAGTAGTACCATAGCCTGTCTGCTGAGACTTTGAAGATTTTACCAGATGTCTAATCCCTGATTAGCTTCTTCCTATCGAATTTCTTCTGCTGATCCCGCAGAAGTATTCTGGCTCGACGAAAGGCGTTTGAGCTTCTTTCCTAGCGAGTTTGTTCGATTCCTCATTTCTTTTCACTCCGAAAAGTCTCGGAATCTATAGGAGGGTTATTATATTTCTGTTGGCTAGCTCGTTGAGTGTTTTTTCAATATTCTCGAATCAGTTTAAAGCTGATCACCGAAGACCTCAACGCTTTGATGGCTGCTTGACTAGCGGACATGATAACGATATCTCGTTTCATATAGATTTTTTCTAGATTGAACTGTACACATTCCCCTATACCATGAACTTCCGCCTATATATACTTGAAATTCATCGTGGCTTCCGAAGTACTAGGTACCAGGTCCTATTCCAGTTTCATCCTCGGTTTCTGAGCCATCTAACCACTTTATAGCTCCTTTTCTGAGCTCAATGCCCATGGATTCGATGATTCATTCCCATTTGAAGCTCAGCCTTGTGGTGGATTGTTTAACTAAGCTATACTTTTTTCTGAATGACCTGCCTTTGATCACTCCTTGTCTTATCATTCTGTATGTCGTTCTTTTTGTCACATTCTACAATCATCTACATTGCGGTAGTGGGACACGTATTCATTGCAACTTGAGTCACGTTCTCCACTTGACTGACTCAGTGACGTATCTTCGCAGGTTCAATGGAAGTTAACATTTTCAGTCTCACCAGTTGGTGCAACTAAAACGTGAGGTCAATGTCAAAGTAGAAAATCCCAATATTTCCAGATATGGGACGACTCGAGCAGACTTGCGATACATTTTCACTCTCAATGTGGAACTTCTCGACCAATTCTAACACTGATGGGGAGGAAGATATCGTAGGAAGAGGCTTGATAACACGAAAAGAAGAATTTCTATCAACTCTGACCTCACGTTATTATAGGGCAATGTGTTGGACAACAAAATAATGTTAGCAATCATTGCCAACAAATATTATACAATACCATTTCCGCATGTTTTCAAATTTCAAATCACCATATAAGTGAGAGAAAATTTCAAGCACCAAACATTCCAGGTTCTGATAAATGATGTCGAGCATCTGGCGGTGCTTTTCTATAGCGATGACTGTGAAGAATGCGACGACATCTTAGAAGAGCTAGAGACAATCGACGATGACGCAGACAAGCATGGCATCCAATTCGTGAAATCAATGGACGCCAAATTGGCTTCAGAAATTGGCATCTTCAGTTTTCCTGCTCTGGTATACTATGAGACTGGTGTTCCTATCATGTATGACGGTAAGAGAAAATAAAGAATTCGTGCTCTTATGTTTCTTGTAGATGTATCGACAGTTTGAATTAATTTCTTGATGAAATGTTATAGGCAACCTTAGTAACGAGGATAAAGTTTTGGAATGGATAGTTGAACAAAAAAGTAAGGATGAGATTATTGATACGTTGAATATTCATAATACCACTTAAATTTAATTTTTTTCGAACTGACGAATCATAATGATAATTCAATTGGCTATAAAATTCGAGGTTTGCGGGGTGTGCTGCATGTGATGAGCTGCATGTGCTGTAATTGTCTTAGGTTTCGATGGGGAGGATAACAATGATAGCGATGTTGATACTAATGAGGACTACGAGACCGACGAAGACGGTGACGATGACGAAGGCAGTGGATTGCAAAGTTTTGATGATATAATTAAGGGATTCATTTCAGGTAAAAATGTCCTCTTTGGTGGTAGAAATCCTGATATGATCGGTTGACTTTTGTCGAATAACTTTCGATAGGAACATGAATCTGTAGAAAAAACTACAACATAGCAGAATTTTCCAAAGTGGATTGATATGAGTGAAAAACTCAAAGTTATTCTTCTTGAATGATGAATAAAATTGCTATCGATGATATTGTTACGACCCTGGCGATCAATCCCAGCTACCTGCTATACGGAAGTAAATAAACCGTATTTCTTGGAATAGTAATTAGGTGATTCGACGGCTATTGAGATGACTCGAGAAGATTATCGACCTGTTCACGATATTTCGAGTGGAATCTAGACGTTTTATTAGGTAGTATAAATAGTTTTTGTTAGGGACAGGAAGGGAAGAAGTGTTGTGAATCGGAAGTGTTTAGTACGAGTATTGTAATTATTGTATAGTAGTGTTCAGAATAAATTCTTTTAAGTGTTATACCGAGTGTTAAATTATTACGGACCCAGAGTAAAATCGTAACAATATATAATGGAAGCAAAACAACTACTAGCAAAAGTATATTCTCAAACGAATGTTTAACACCTTCGAGAGCATGTGGGGTAGGTGTTGACGATCTCCTTGTCGCCTACTGAAAGTATCCGACGGATGTTCAATTGGATTGAGATCTAGACTACCCGAAGGCTTGCCTGATAATCCATATTTATTTAATGCAAGACTGAAATCCATGATGTGTTGTGAAAATGCAGTATTTCTCAGGGGTTCATCTTCCGTGAAGAATTTCAACCACTCTGAAATGAAAAAAAAAAAAGAAAAATTCTACGGAATGCTCTGTATTTTTTGGGGTTGAAATAGTATTCATAAACTGAGGCCAAACTTCGAATGAGAATGAGATGCATAGTCACCGTACCAAATCATTGAACTACGACTAGATGACAAGTTGGTCAGAATCGAAATCAAGTTCTAGGGGCAAATAGTAATTTCAACCTCATAGTGAATTACTTCCCCGTGGTGCGTTGTTTTCGCTGGTCAGTTCAGTTCCTGGAACCCGGTGATTTCCAAGGTTACAGTGCCCTTGAGATTGAGAAATCAACTTCACGCAGGTTGCTCATCTATCTCGAATGATTTGTGATAGTGCAGCAGTTAAGATAGAATATTCCAATGTATTGTGTACACTTTTGATAAAGGCAGCGAATTTGGCACAGAGGTAGACCAAGATGATATGAACGAATTCATATGTGGACCTATCGCCATTGTCCACTTTTATTATTTCATTTTCTATTTTTGTTTAGTTTGACTAGCCATAAAAGCGGGTTTCCTCAGGTTTTTCAATTACTATTTATTGTCTACATCTTTTCAGTTCGGTAATCTATCTCTTCAGTTTTCTGAACTACTATTCATTTTCTACTTCTTTTTAGTATGGCTATCTATGAAAGCGATTGAATCCGTCATCTCGGATTGGACGAAAGAATCATGATCTCCGATCCCGAAAACCTCCAGATAACAATTTCAAACGGACTCGGATCCATAATTACAAAAGTCGTCCGCGATATTGGATCCGCCATCTTGAATGTTCAAATTCCGAGGAGAGAATCATAATCATCGACCCCAAAATCCCCCAGATACCAATTTTGAATACAAACGAATCATAATTACAAAACAGGTTCGCCATATTGGAAGCGCCATATCAAATTTCTGAATTTTGAGAAAAAAATCATAATCTTCGACCTCAAAAACTCCCAGATACTGATGAACCTGTATATTTGAATCCTTTTAATCAGCTTCAAATATTTTCTCAGGGGTATGTTTCCAATCCAGCACTATCTGAGCTATGATAATCACTTCTTCATTATTTAGAAGGAAACAATGGTTTGAAGACACATCCACTCTTCATTGTAGGAGTATATATACTATACCAGGATTTTTACTTGTGAATTGGACATGTTGTTTTTATTCCAATATACGATATGTCACCCCTAAAAAATACTCCAGCAGAATATTAAGATCATTTTTGTTTTTATAATACTTCAGTAAACAGAAGTACCAAGTACCTATCATTATTTAAAAAACTTGTTGCAATTCTATGAAACAAATAATATCAAGATATTGGTGAAACTTATAATAACAAACCTGTCAACTTTTTATTTTGGAGTCGAGAAGGAGGAGGACTCTCTGTCGATTTCCTTCTGCTTATAGAATCTTCGGGAACAACATTCTGTCATTCTGCCCTCAGGAAACACAGCTCTGATGCCTCGAAATGCTTGGAGAAAACAACCTTGCTAGAACTTATGTACATGTCAGGTATCCCCAATGCTTCACAATCGATTCAAGTCATAGTTTTTTCCTGACTAAAACGAGAAAAAGGTGAAAATTAAATTCAAGCATGATTTGAATTGATCTAAACATTTTCGAACCCGGTCTGTTTACTAACCTAAAAAAACATTACTTACCGAAAATAGTAAATATTTGGAAATATGCCACTACTGCTGAAGAATTCAATGAATCATATTGGAGGCATAACAAGAACTCATTTAAAACGTAGAAAAAATGCAGAAAACGAGAAATTGTGAATAAATACCAAATAAACACAAAAGCTGACATACGACATTCAGTAATGCGCAGACTCGCCAAGTGGCAATCGCCGCCATATTGGTTCTCCTTGCTGGAATAAGATCATAAAACAGTTTTTCCCTTCTCCTATGTGTTTTAGTTCTGTGCGAAATTGGTGCCTCTATCAAAAAGTGCACAAAAGTTTAGCCAATCTGCTGTTCTATGATAAAAAAATCGTTTTCATCGAAAGTTATTCAGCATCAGAAATTACCATCCCTCCCCTTAGTTCGAGAGTCCGGCAGTCCTGGACGACAACCTGCTTCTAGGAACGACAATTGCGCCTGCGCATGTTCTTTTTCCCTAACACCGCATGTGGGGCATAGTGTCAGACTCTCATTTCACGATTCACCATTCTTTTCTGTCACTCTACTAACAGCTAAACGCTCCTAATTTACTCACATACTCATAAACTTTGTCTTGTCTTTCGTTATGTGGACTCTGACATTATGTTTCCTGCAGGAGACGGTTGTTTCTACATCGGCATGGGTGGTAAGGGCCAGTTGCCCAACCCCTCCTACCAGCCCTACCAATGCTGTCCGAAACCCCCCACCAAGGCCAGCAAGGTGGCCAAGCTGCAACCGAAGCTGGGCACCAAGCAGGTGGCAGCGAAGCCGGCTGCTAAGCCAGCCAGGAAGCAGGAGCAGCTCGCGTTCAAGACAGTGTCCAAGGCCAACCATCCAGTGAAGGCGAAAGCTAAGGACACGAAGGACAAGCTCGTTTCTAAGGGAGAGAAAGTCAAAGGGAAGAAGGGATTTTTCGGGACCGGTAAATATGTCTGGTGGTGGTAGGTAATGGACACTAATCGTCAACTTTTTCATCGTTTCCATGGAGAAGCATGATGTGAAGGTTCAGTGTGGCGAAACAAGTGAATCAAGTCTTCGGCTACAAACTGCAGTGTTTTGGGCTTTCGAGTGACTATTTATTATTTTGTTTTCAATTATTTGTCTTCTACATATTCGGTCTTTCTCCTTTCACCTACATAACTTATTCCTATCAATTTTGGAAGCATGATAGATACCAGGAAACATATATTCCCATGTAATTCACTTATATATCGAAATACCTCGTGAAGTAACATTAAACTTTGCTCAATAGTATCTAGTGTTCGATGGAGGCAGTTCAATTCCGATCCTATTCAATCAGGCTCAATATTTGATAATCAAAGACAATTTTGTTGTCTGCTCTGATGGCCTTGATAAATCAAACTTTTGAATCCTACTGGTGAAACTGCTCAGACCAAAATAGTCTGGTTCATTAAACTTCCAGCTGGCATTTTCTTTCGAATACCTCAATTTCAGAGTAGATAAATCAGAATATGCCTTTTCGTTGAGATATAGGGAAAATAAAGGGTTGTAAGGACGAAACGTTGTTGAGTAGCTATCTGCTGCTGAATGAAGCCTCATTTTCTATTGGTTTTGACTAAAATGCTTCCCAACTGACTGAATTGGTATCGATCAAATGTTTTTTTTTTGTATGAACTTTATCGTTTGATGGTGATGATTCCCTCCGTCACTATCTAGGTCATAAGCTTTTCTATTGTTGTAGCTTAGCCTGATCATGTAAATATTGTTGATACTGTTGTTATAACTTCTGGAATATTTGGCATTTTAATAGCATGACCTATTGCAATTTATGTGGAATAGGAACCCGAATTCACCTATATCATAGATGGCTTTACGTGTTTGCATGAACTATCAACATTGATGTTCTTAAATTCATGATTTAGTTGTATTCGGGAATGAAGAACACTGCCTTACACCTCGCATGTTCAAATTATGAATTATAAAATGTTAAATGATGATTTTCAATAAATTGTTATCTATTACACTGAAATTCTTTCATTTTGGTTAGTTAATATGAGTGTTTGAGTGGAATATTCAAATATCATTCCAAAACGAAATCTCTTTCAGAAAGTTATAATAAATTTTCACATGTTATGAATATAATTTTGAATTTGAAATCCAATCACTCAATTCTGGAAATTCATATGATTTGGCATTAAAAACAACCTACAAGGTCAAATTTTTCGTGCTTAGAAGGGTTGTTTGGATTATTTGATGCAGCTGTAATATATCTACAGGAATACAATGAGCAGCTATGAGGTATGAAGTATATCACAATATCCTGTTGTGAAGTTATGGATTCAAATGAATTTTTAGGAAATTTATTGGATGAGCATGAGGTATTGGACTGGATGACAGATCAAAAGAATGACGAAAGCATCGAAGAAATAAACAGAGATAAGCTTTTCAACTACATCGAAACGAAAGAGTTTTTGGCAGTTGTATTTTGTAAGTACATACTCATTTAATTCTCCTATGACCTACTGAATGTGGCTTTAGAGGTGGTAGTGTACAGTATCTGAATAACTCCATACAGATTACAAAAATCCTATCTGAACAATCTTCAAAACGTAATAATATATTCGTTAATTTCTGGTTGACATATTTTATTATAGCATATTCATATTCTCTAGAAAAGCCGATCTCACTGTGCCCAACATGAGCTTGTCAGGAGTAACCATACCTTTGAAGACATCCATTTCGATGTTTGGGATTACTATCAGCAATAACCTTTCTTGTGAAAATCACGTGAGATCAATTGCTAAAAGTGCATCCCAATAACTTGATTTTCTGTTTCGAGCCAGGAGCTATTTCACTTTCAGTCAGCTGCTTATGATTTATAAGGCACAGATCCGACCGGTCCTGGAATACAGTCCCCATATTTGGAGTGCAGCACCCAAACATACCCTGAAACTATTGGATCCTGTCCAAAAAAGGGCAATTCGTCTTGTGGGTGATGCCTTGCCACAAACCCACTCACTTCTCTGGAACACCGTGGAAAAGGTGGCGATCTGGCTTCTTTTTATAGATATTTCCATGGACGATGCTCTTCTGAAATATCAACAATTGTTCCTTCCTTGGCAGTCCCCACGAGATCAACCCGTCGAGTTGAGGCTTCGCGCCCCTTCGTAGTCACTTTGTAGACCTGCAGAACATCTGTTCCCAAAGATTCGTTCATCCAACGAACAGCAAGGCTGTGGAACACATTGCCAAGGGATGTGTTCCCCGAGGCATATGACCTCCACAAATTCAAGAAGAACACCAATTCCTACATTATTTACCTCGGTTCTCACGATGTTCTCTGAACATTACAGGATATCTCTTTCCGTGGGAACCAAAACATAAAAAAATCTACCTGCAATTTATTCTGATTTTCTCCCATTGGGCAAAATTTCAACACATTATCTCTTCCCAATCAGGTTTCTCAATATTATGGCCAATAAGGCTTCTTATATCAGTCCCATTCATTCTTTAGTTTTTTTTTTAACAGTTGAGCTCAATAGCCTTCTTCTGAGGACCTCACTATAGGACGTGAATATATGAAGTATGGTACCTCCGAGAACAATGCAAATAATAATATCCTAGGTGCCATAGTAGCCTGTTAGTAGTAGTGTTAGTTAAGAAAAAATAATCGTTTTTGGCTCTGAATCGAAGATTGAATCACTACTCTCATCATTACCTCAAACCTTCACTTCATTCAGCCAAAGCAGAAAGTGCCAGCCAAATACTGTCACAAAATTGACTTCGCCAGACTGCTAGCTCCAGCTAGAAAGTCTCTCTCATCTTCGCATCGTCTAACATTGCCCAAATTGAATGCATCTTCAATCACAAACAAGATAGATGAATGCCCAACAATATAATTTCCATTACATAACCTCTCATATAATTGGTTCAATTGGCCAGTACCTATTAGGTTTTCCAAATCACTACCCTGGCTCACCAGACCATTATAGGTAGCAATAAGTTCTGGCAACAATGAATCTCAAGCGCTTTACCTCAAAATCCTGATCGCTAATCGAAGGGGACTATTCCAGATAAAGAAGAAGATCCAGACAGTCCGAGAATACTACGTCACGTAGAACTCATAGATGACGAAGCGGCAGAATACGGCATCAAGATAGTGAAAACGAAGGACAGGCTGATGGCTAAAAAGTACGGATTCAGACAGCCACCCGGTATCACGTACTTCAGAAAAGGCAAACCGATCAACTACGATGGCGATATTGACGATGAGGAAGAAATCCTGGACTGGTTGACGGAACCAGAAAATATGGAACTCACCGATCACATAGAGAGGGTCAACAGGAAGATGTTCGAGAAGATTCGGCTGAGGTCGGACTACGTAGCATTATTTTTATGTGAGTAGAATTTGGTCTAGATTCGGGACTAGGAATATGTATTTTCATCTCTGTAACCACAATGAAGATATAGATGTAGACCCCTAATAGCACAAGTGTATTCCTAAAATGTTCTTATAATGTTCACGTGCGACTATTGATGAGTTCATTTCTCCGATAATAATGATAATAATACTTATAAATGATTCATTCAACAAAGGAGATAGAGAATAAACAATAAAACAGAACAGGTACCTGATTATGACACACGCTATCACATTACACTTTTACAATTTTTCAGATGAATATAGCTAAACATCATATTATGGTATATGTATGGATCAAGTGTTGGGAACTTTCAAAACGAAAATCTTCATTCAATCCTGTGTCAAAATAATATGTTCCTGGAATGATCATGCGTGAGTGGTTCTCAGTGGAACGTTCCGTGCATATACCATAGAGAGACAGGACATTTCGACTTGAATGGAACATGAATTGAACGTTCTGGAAACAACGTGTGCTATCAGGGACGAATACATTGCGACTACGTTAGGAATAAAAAAAAAATTGTCAAGAAGAGTAAGAGGAAGAACTTGGTTTTTGCATGACCAAACAGGTGCTATAGTATGCGGATCTCAAACTTTTTTGGTGACGAAACCCTTTAGAGAAACAAAATTTTTAATGAAACCCTAAATCTAAAACTGAAATCAAAACCAGTTACATGTGTAGTGTTTCCTTATGATCAATATCTGATTTTCCCGTATGAATGTGGCGAATGGAAATTAGAAGTCGACCTATTTCAAGAGATTCTTCAGAAATTGATAGTTCGCCTGAAAATGATTCTATGCAGTACTTTACGAAATCACTGTATGTCTGTCTGGCTAGGGGTAAACACCACCAGAACGGTCTGGCTATTGACGAAACATCTTCTGATTGATACCCAAGTAACATGTATAAAATTCAGTGCAATTGCTCACGTGTTTCCTCATATTATCCAGAATGGAATATCGAAAATGTACCCTTTATAGTATGACGAGAATAAGTTGGTATTTTCAGCATCTTTGCTCCTTGTAAACTCCCAAAGACAGCATGCCCTGAACTTCATATTTGCCCATCGTTCTTATCTGAGTTTGGAGCATGCGCTGAGTAATTTCCAGCTCTTATATGGTCAGGGAATCTTGCTCTATAAGATTTTTTAGGTGAATTGTGAGCTAATTGTACTGTATGTACCTATTAGTCACTTACATTTAGGATTGCTTCTGCAATAGAATAAAGGTGATGAATAAAAGCTTTGTGGAGTTTCTGAAAGAAGGCAAGCAGCTTGGATTCGTGCAATCAAATGGGTGGACTGGTCTGGAATGCTGATGAAATATGGTCGTGTGTGTTGTAGACATTTGAGGAAAACCAAAGAGAAATGGCAGAAATGACTATGTTCTTGGGTGTTGTAGACATTTTCGCCCTATCTGCTCCTACTGCAGAAGGAATTATTCTAAAGAGATGTGACAACATTTCAAAATTGAAACAATGTGAGTGACTACAGTACTCCTAGCTCCCAATTCACCTGAATAATTAATCCTTCGTCCTGCATTTTTTGTGCATTTTACAACAGCACAATATGATGGCATGCTTGATGTAATTCCTGAAGCCATAACTATTCAATAACTTTTCTTCAAAGATGATCTATAATAAATGGAAGAACATGCCTCACAAAGTTCTATTCAGAGGCAAAGTCTTAACGGACAGATAAGATGCGCACACTAATGAGTAACGAACACCAACAACATTTGATGGAAAATGTTTACTTCAGGCTTTCGACGTTTTCCTTAAGAATAATTTTCCAGATAGCAGCGACTGCAAGCAATGCCCCAGAGTCCTAACAGAAGTTGAACACATCGACGACGAGGCCGACTCAGCGGGCATCAACTTCGTCAAGATCGAAGACAAGCAGATGGCCAAGGAATACGGGGTGTTCGCTCTACCGGCCATCCTCTTCTTCAAAACCGGCTCGAAGGACCCAGTTATCTACGCTGGGGACCTTTACGACGAGCAACAGATCCTGCAGTGGCTGCTGACACAGAAAGATCCTTCGGGAGATGTCATCGAGGCTAGAGAGGGGAGCGAGTTGATAGCGATGATCGATAATGAAGATGCTCTGGCTGTGTATTTTTGTAAGTAGAATTGGAGATGCTTGTTCAATTTCAGAAGATAATCGAATACTCCATAAATAGCTCTTGAGCTATCAAAATAATGCTAGTCATCAAAACTGTTCCATAGCTCTATACAATTCCTAACTGTTTTTACGCTCATTCACCTAGTCCAATCCTGAGAGCAATATTCCACTCAAAATGTCTTGGACAGAATCTTATTTATCCTCTTCCCCATGCTGTCATATGCCCTTTTCTCATCTCCTTCTTTCCTTTCCCTTGTTCTTTCTTGTTCTATCTCATTGCTCCATCTCATTATCGCTTCCTCATTATCATTCCTTCGTGTTCTTGTCCTTTATCCATGTCCTATTCTCCATTTTCTCTTTTCTTCCTTTTTCTTTCTTCTTCTGTTCCACTTCTTTCCTCTTATTTGCCTCTCCTCATTGGTCCTGCTTATGCTGCCTTTATTTCTTCGACCTTCTTCCTTTCCTTATTTTTTCAAAAAGTAACTACATCATCATCTGACAACAATTTCCTCCGAAACTTGTTCCCACCTCACATCGAAGTTATTATTCAATGTTAAAACTCTTTGTGTCACCTAATGCCAAAGCTGCAGAGCTAGCTTAGCCTGGCTAACCCCTCTCATTGCTAATATTACTGATATATTCAGGGAACAAGACTTTGTGCGATTTATGCAACGGTCAGGATCAGCACCTGCGCGCTGGAAGGAAGGCTCAGAAGAAGGCTACCGAAGAAGATACCGAAAATAACGTGGACGGTACTAGTTCCCCTGTTGTTGTAGTTGTAGAGTTACTTTATGTTACTAATCTTCTTGTGGTGGATATAACATGAACCTAATCATCCACTCAATACTATCTCTATTCACTTCTACACCAAATGCAACCTCTTGGGTGACAGTCAGTTTTTTTTTCAGAAGTAATTCGGTATGTGAACTTTGTATTTGAAACATTGTCTTATTTTCATAAACAAAAAACTGATTGTCTTCACTCAGCATGTACTTTTTTTGTAGTAGCACCATGAGGATAAATGGCGAATGAGGACCCATAGATTAATTAGAATCTCTTGTACAAAGTTGAAACTATTCACCATGACTGATTTGGCAGAAATAGTGAAGGATAACAAGAAATACATTAGCTGCAATGATAGCACAACTCATACCTGCTTCTTTTCGTTGTAGTTCCTTCGAGAACAATCTGCAATATGTCATTGTAGCCTTTATTTCATTTTCATCTCCGAAAAACTGATTATCTTTACTTAGCATGCACTTCTTTGGGTAGTAGCACTGTGAGGATGAATTGGGAATGAGGATCTATAGATGAGCTTATTGTACATAATTTATACCTATTCACAATGACTGATTTGACAAAAATAATGAAGAAAAACATGTATCACAATATTCAATGGATCAGGCTGCTTCACAGTCAGATAACCTAACAATAAAGGTATAAGACTTACCTGCATCTCTTTTTTTTTTTCAACATGTCGTTGAGCTTCGTCGAACTTACTGTGTTCACCTATCACATTCTACTCCATTTCATCAAGTTATCTCAACGCTAGCAACTTTTACAGTTCTTTCATTGATTCTTCACGGTCTCATTGATCCATCTTCAGTTGTCCACTAGTAGGTATCTGTATGTTATGGTTCACTTGTATGATGGTTACGGGCATCTTCATTTTCTTGTTGAATTGTCCTCATTCAAGGTTTCTATGCCAGTTAGAAGCCAGTAAGCAACCCTTGCAGATGGGTAATGATTTCTCCCCACTATTTCCCGTTTGGTTAATAGTCTCCTAACTGTAGTATCTCAGTTATATCAAAAACCAGGTCAGTGAGATCCTTTTTTCATGAGCTTAAGTCTATCTTTTCTGTCCCAGCTACAATACACTTCGGATGCTCGGAATGATTTACAACTGATTGATCATTTTTATTATTCATTTGACATTTGCTTGAGATTAGGCTACTCTGCTGATGATCACTTTGACTATCCAGTTTGAGCGTTCGCGGTATATGAATTCCCTCCACACCCTTTTCAAACACATGTTGATCTCTTACGCTGTTCTGATCTATGATCTACAAGTTTTTCAAGTTTATGAACCGCAACGTTTATCATCCTTATTTGAAATTTCTTATCATTAGTCCTCGCAATAATCTCATTTGAGTCCCCGCCTTCATTACAGGTTGGCTCATAAGCTGGTGTGATGTTATTTTTGTATTCATTCCTACGCCAGCTCCTGATATATTCATCATCAAACAAATCTGTGAAAGTCCCTCACAGTAATGAATTAGCAAAAGAAACAGTGGGAAAATGTCACCAATCGAACTGACAGCTGCAAGAGCTAAATTTGACCTCATCCATCCAAACAGCGACGACTTCATCAAGTTCGTCAAGACCCAAGACTTGCGCATAGCATAGAGTTACCTTATGGTACTAATCTCTTTGAGATGGATACAACATTAACCTAATCATCCACTCGATACTATCTGTTAACTTCTACACCAATTAACTGCATCTTTTTCGATGACAGTCAGTTTTTTCTTCAATCAAAGAAGAACGGATTGTGTTTGGAGAGCCCAGTATATTTAATTTATTTTACCATGATGAAAAAAATTTATAATTCCGGGAAATGATTGCAAGCGATGTCATATTGGATGTTATTGATATGAGAAATATTGAAACTATCAATAAACAGTCCACAAATCTATTAATTTGAAATACAATCTGGCATTGGTCCTTCGAGCCGGATGATAGGTTGAATTTCGAATCAATAGATTCGTGTTGAAATGGACATTTCATAACCTGTTATGGTAAACTCTACGTCAGTTTTGGAAAGTGTAAAATTACATGTCAATTTAGAAAGAATGTGTTTCTGCCAAGTCACGAATTGAACCGTCAGCTGCATAAGCCAAATTTGATATTATCCATGTTCCATGATCAGATGACGACGTTTGCGAGCAATGCGTGAAAATCCTGGAAGAGCTGGAAAACATCGACGACGACTGCGAACGGCACGGCATCAAGTTCGTCAAGACCCAAGACCTGCGCATAGCAGAGCAATACGGCGCCACGGACTACCCCGTCCTTATGTACTTTGAGAACGGAGTGGGGGGCGTGTTCGAGGGAGAGCTTCAGGAGGAGGAGGAGGTACTGCAGTGGCTGATCCAGCAAAGGACGGAGGACCGTATCGAGTTCATCACCAGGGTGATGTTGGAGAAGATGGTGGAGGACACGCAGTACCTCGCCGTGTATTTCTACAAACAGAACTGCCACATCTGCGAGGAGATACTGGAGGAGCTGGAACAGGTGAGAGTGCGTAGGTTAGGTTAGGTTACAGCGTTGCTACAGCTTGTTCGATTGAGCGAGATCTTGCTCGTTTTGTCACTAGTGTCACCCTCTCGCTACACTTTGTCAAATCATGCTCGTTTTACCTCATCTAGTAGGCCACACAGATCTGGCGCAATACAGAGGTTATATTTTTTCGAATTTCAGATACTTTGATAAAATATTCCATTCACCAGTTATAGAGGTCTTTTTGTATAGGACCTTGTATAGGTGAATGAATTTATCTCTGTGTCCACTGTTACAACAAATAAATTGTATCTACTCACTGCATTGAAAGTGAGCGTGAGTTTCACTGATAAAATTTCTATAAATTCCGAATCTTCTCCTTTGTTCTTCGAATCGACGACGAGTGTGACGTATACGGCATTCAGCAGTAAGATTGAAAAATGGAAGAATTTTTTTCGAGCTCTCGTGATAACTGTTTGTCATAAGGGAAATTAATCTTAACAGAATGAACCAGAGTGGAATCTCTTTATCCGTTCGCTATGTATGATAATTTGAATTTCCTGTGGTACTTCACGAAATAATTGTATAATTCACTGATGTAATTTCTACGAATTTCGAATATTCTCCTTCGTTCTTCAGATCGACGACGATTGTGACGTTTACGGTATCCAACAGTAAGATTTAAAAATTGAAGAATTATTTAGCGGGTTCTCATTATGAGTATTTGTAATAAGAAAAATCGATGCTGACAGAACGAACTAGAGTGAAATCACGCCATCCGTTTGCTAGATATGACTATTTCAATTTTCTGCGGTACTTCCCCAGGCAACAAGATGCCGATTGATCACGTCACTGTGACGTCCCTAATTGGTTATTTTTAGTCAGAGACGTCACACACCAATTATAACGTCACTTTGACGTACTTTCCATGACGTGATAATCACTTCATCATTTCGACGCCGAGGGTACGTCACTTAGAAGGTTAAAATAAAACGGTAGTATCATGACGTTGCAGGGACGTCCTGTCGACGTCCATGTTTCCCAGACCATATATATAAACCATGTATACTCACATTATCACGTGAAACCGTTAGGTTTGTGACGTACCCATAAATACAGGATGGGCATTTTTAGTGTCAAAGAGTTGTTAGAAAAAATCGGTTTCTCATCAATTTTACACACATATATGTGTTGATGATTTTATATCTATGCTTCTAACGTCGATAGTAGCATAACTCATCAATACAAATCAACATGCAAGTTTTATTGGAATTATATATGCCCAAAAAGTAAGAGAAAATGATAATATAGGTATACCTATATTAGAACCATAACTTTTATGACGTTGCAGTGACGTATCTACGACGTCTAAACATCACGTCGGTGTGACGTACTAATTTGGTCGTGAGCTCCGTCATTCAGATACTCTTCAATAATTTCCTATTTAGAATTGTGTTGGGTGACAAATGATACATGAATATACGTTACTCAACAAAGTGAAGCTAAATCCGCCAAAATCCTTTTCATCGCTATCAAACTATTCTTGGTTTGCTTACATCTCGCCGACACATACTACATAATTATGGAACAAAACCGAGTAATTGATTTCATACTGATGGAGATGCGTACTGAGGGATGGCACTGCTGAATAGACGATTGTATGGACATGACACCGGAGGGACCACCAAGGAGGCTCAAAGATGCATAATCAATATAATATGTCATCAGAGGTCAGTGGTGATTATCACACCATGTTCGAGGAAACTTTTTACGTGTCACCACACAATTTGAACGTCATTTTGACATCATTTCGACGGCATTCTGACGTCATAGTTTGGTGAGTGAATGACGTCAATGAACGTGAGTGATATGAGAGATAAACCTAGAATCTCAAGACTAAGAGATTCTAGGGAAATTTCGTGAAATGATTATCAGCTGATGCAAGACAGACTGTTTCGACTTGCCATAAGTCTCATCAGTTGCACTGGCCCTCTGACAATCAATTCATTTTGAGGATTACAGATGTCGCGATAGTCTACAGAATTCGCAAGGTATATATACCTATTCACCTTTGCACTTGAGCCACTAGATGGCTATGAAGGCTAGATCGTCCGTCTGCCCCCTCAGGGCTTCGACTTGTTTGATATATGAAGGTACCCTTCGTGGATCGATTGTCAGCTGGCCAGTGCAACTGCGATGAGACTTATGGCAAGTTGAAACAGTCTGTCTTGCATCAGCTGACAATCGATTCACGAAATTTCCCTAGAATCTCTCAGTCTTGAGATTCTAGGTTTATCACCATCTGTAAGTGGAACATTGAACCACTTTGAGAATTACAGGTGCTGCGATAGTCTACAGAATTCTGATATGGTGTTTTTCATGTAAGCATATATACGTAGGGGTCTATATGCACGTAGTCGCAAGGTATGATTGTTGAATCTACCTTTACACCTTTGTACTTGAGCCACTAGATGGCTATGGAGGCTAGATCGTCCTTCTGCCCCCTCAGGGCTTCGACTTGTTTGATATGACGTCATTGTGCTGTGACTTATTCACGTCATTCATCACGTCATATGAAGTCAACTCCTGACGTCACCTTGGTCATTCAACTGACGTAAAAAAACTTCAACCTAACATCCGGCTCGAAGGACCAATGAAACGTCATCTAGTTGTATGGGTCATGAAACAATTGTATATAAGAGTTGAGTTCATGAATTCAGTGATACATTTTCTACAAATTCTTAATCTTCTCCTTTGTTCTTCAGATCGACGACGAGTGTGACGTTTACGGTATCCAGCTGGTTCGCATCCAGGACCCCCAGCTGGCCAAGAGGTACAGCATCAAGACCTTTCCTGCGCTGGTCTACTTCAGGAACGGAAACCCGCTGCTGTTCGAAGGTGACCTGCAGAACGAGCAATCGGTGCTGGAATGGCTGATCGACGATGACAACAGAGAACTGGAGGACCAGATCGAGCTGGTCAACGATAGGATGCTGACGAGGCTCCTGAACGAGTCGCCTTTCCTGGCGGTTTTCTTCTGTGAGTATAAAGATAAGGGGAAGTTTTCTCTAGATTAATTTTTATTAAATAAGTTCGGAACACTCCAGTTTCATGTCCACGCTGTTCAGAAAGGTGACCGATAAAGTCCAAGTCGTTTTCATTTGACGTATACATTCTGAATCTGGTCTGAAAATAGCTGATGGTGAAGGATATAGCTAGCGAATAGCTAACGAATATCTAACGAATGAAAAACGAATGAAAAAAATAGAAGAAGAAGTGAAACTGGTAAACAAAAACATACATAACCTCAAATGCACTCGGAGCAGAAATGCAGAAGGTAGTTGGCCTCATTCTGACAGGTTATGGTTTTGTTATTTATGCCTTGAAATATCTTGAATAGAGCTCGATCCTAAACGGAAATATAATTGCATCAATGAATCACTATCGGCTACATTCAATGATACTATCCTTCCTAATCTTCCTTATTCATCGGTCAGAATAGAATGGAGCCGACACCCATGGCTCCTTCCTCTTGTTGTGCCTGTCAGTATTTTGAGTGGTGTGGACGGACTCGAATTATTAGTCACTGTTGCAAGATATAATAATCTACAACTTTCTTAGAAAATAGATCCGTTTCATTAGGGAACGAATTCATTAGCAGAAAAAAATGACTGACAAGTTATGAATAACATATTGTAATATAACGATAGTGAAAAAATATACATACTATCGCAATATATCATGATTCATGTTCATTAGTAATCAACTTCATTCAGCCAATGAGAGATTTATGGGAATTATTCATTTTACTTGACAAAGTAGGATTGAAGGACCTATTATATTCCATTGCTGTAATAATATAGTGATTATGCATTCAGAGGACAATTTCTGTGAATCTAGACATATCGATGATGTCGGCAACGTCGTACTGGCACAGTATATCGTATTTTAACTCTGTCTGAATGTGGATTTTCAGAAAGTACGTCATAGGAATGGTGAAGGAGCCAAAAGTATCTCTTTTATTTTCATTTATTTTATTTTTTTCTAAAGTGAAATTTGATCTTACAATTTGATTTTTTACAAACTTCACAGTGAGATAAGAACCTCAATATAGTAAACTTCCCCAGTATTTATGCATGAGCAGACGTTAAAGTGTACTTTAGCGCATACATACCAATTCGACCAAAAACTACATTATTCGTTCTGTCAGCTGATTCTTCTTCTTCTCCATTCAAATCTTGAATATCTTCGCGATCAGCCGTTTTATCGATGCTAAGGTGCTGTCGGTTCAAATCCGTCTATGCTGAGCATTTTTCCTGGTTGTTATCCTGGCAGCACCTCGGCGTCCTAGAAGTGGTTTAGAATCCTGAAGGTCCTGGTTCTCTTAACCGACTTCTGGGCAGTTGGTATCCCACCTCGATTTTTTTTTATTTCCCCAGACGACGAAGACTGTCCAGAATGCGAGACGATCCTCGAACACCTCGAGGAAATTGATGGCGAAGCCGACCTCTTCGGCATCGACTTCGTGAAGATCTGCAGCTCGACGGCTGCAGCAGAACAGGGGCTGCACACGCTGCCAGCTCTCATGTACTTCAGGTGAGTCTCCTATTGACGATTGTGTTACTGTAGACAATTCATCATACAGGGTGTATCTAAATAACGTCGAAAATTCCTTGTGATATTCTAGCAAATAAAGTTCATAAAAATATATATGTGTCCTAACTTGCTCCATTTTTGAGATACAGCATGTTGAAGTTGGAAGTATTAATTGTTTTTCTTCATAACCCCCTTGTATAAGCTTTTATGGTACAGAAATTCAGTATGGTTGGAGACTGAGAAAATCCTGAAATTTCAAAATGATTCTAATTGGGGTTATTGAGAAATATCAATGGAAGTCTTGAAAACACCTACATTAAAATTTGGAGTCAAATCAAATTTTTATTGCTACCTCAAAAATTGAGCTAGATACAAAAATTATACAGATTAACCGATCATTTAGCGTGGTACAAATCCGTACACTGTATGTGGGTAGAAAAAACGTATTATTATTCGATTGTGTTGCAGTCTCAATGCATTTGTAAACTATGCAGTGTATTATTTTCAGTCATAGATATTGATTTTCCACAACAATATTTTTGCAACACTATAAATGGATGAAAAAGTGTCACATTTCGACCTCGTTTCACTGCCAATATAGGGTGAGTCATGAATAACCAGCCATAGCCTAATGACGGATCGAGGAAGTCAAGGTGATTTGATATATACCTACCCATGTGAAAAAATTTTAGTTAGGGGCGAAATTTTGATGAACGATATTTCAGGAACGTTTTGATGTTTTCGCCTGAGATTCACCAGCAATTTACCCCTGCCGACACACCACAGGATGGCTTACTATGGTAGACAAATTCCAGAGCCGGACTTGAAAAACTCGTTTTCTTTATAAATGTCAAAATTTTTACTTTTTCAATCGTATTTCTCAAAAACCCTAATCAGAATAAGAATGATAAGAAAATACACTACCAGTGTAGTTTTTCAATTTGTACAGCACACTCCGACCGGATTGGTGAAAAAATTTCAAGCAAAATTCAGAACACTAATCTACTAGACTACATTCGACTGAAAGTAATCGAATCAGTTTTTTCGTATATTGATATAGCTGCTGAGTTGACAATAAGTATTATTGAAGAAAAATCAGGACCGGACTTGCTTTTTGTAACCAATTACAAAACATCATCATTTTCTAAAAAGATTCGTCTGTAAGTCCTCTGATATCAAAATGTCCTCCTCCTCAATTTCTATACATTTTCTGCATATCTTCGGGAGATCTGTCATGGTTTTCCGAATAATTTGCCTATTATTTCTGATCATATCTGAACCTGATGTATATATCCTCTTCCTCAGTTCCTCTCTGATGTTGACTTCAGTCTGCTATACCAACCCTAACAACACCAGTACATCCTAGGGACTTCCCAGGGACGTTCCTGATTTTATACTAGGACATCCCAGGGATGTCCTTTGTCGGAACAACGTACATACTAGGGATGTCCCAGGGACATCCGCTGGCCACAAAAAAAGGCATCCAAGGGATGTCCTTCTGGTACGTCCCTGGGATGTACCAAGTACGATGAAAAGATATCCCTAGGACGTCCCAAGGATATCCCAGGGACATCCTCTCGACAAAAGAAAAAAAATGTTGGTCGAGTAGGGATTGAACTCGAGACCTTTGGCTTATCATGCACGCACTTTGCTCCATTGGCTATCATGCCTCCTGAAGAATTATTTACTAAACAGATTTATAAACAGGACTTAACTAGAGAAACCTGAATGAATACAACTTTGTTAGGAATTGGGTACAATTATTATCATTATTGGGTGTTTAAAAATGAGGGGCATCATGGATGTACGATTTCTGTCAGCGAAAAATGATAATTTCTTGAGAAGTTCTGGGACTTCATTCATTATTTTCATTACAATCATTTTCCGGAAGAAAAACGAACATTTTCAAAAAAAATCAACTCAATAGTTTGATGAAATTCAACGACTCTGATGTGAATGGATATCAGATACTCCAGGGACACGAATAGGATAACCTAGGGATGTACCGGGCGGGATGTCCACTGGACAACCACTGCAGGATATCCCCTGGATGTCCTAATCATGTCCTTGTACCGCGGGACAAAAAAGGGGCGTACCTAGGACATCCCTGAGTTGTTAGGGCTTTCTCTATCTACCATTAGACTGGCTGGTTAGTCATGACTCCTCCTGTATTGTAAGACTGAAAGACTATTGTTACTTCAGGAAGAAGAAGCCCATGGTGTACGACGGGGATCTCACCCAATCAGACAGGGTGCTTGACTGGCTCACCTCGCAGGATGTATTCGAGATCAAGAACGAGATCGAGGAGGTGAACAAGAAGATGCTGGAGAAGTTGCTGGAGGAGAACGAATACGTCACGGTGTTTTTCTGTGAGTTTGTGGGCTGATTTGCTCGATAAATGACGGCTAAATATCAAGTGAGCTGCCTGAGATCAGGTCGGCAGCTGGTGTGAAGCCAGCAAAACGTTCGCGCCACCAAGAAAAACAGGCCGTGCCGGGGAAAAATAAGGGTGAAATGGATGCGACAGAATCAGTATACATGATAAATCTCTTTTTTTGTTTCCGTGATATGTTTATTGACAAAAAAAATCAATGACAATACATTTTTTAATTTTCAAAATGACAGATTCCTGATTTTTTAGCCATTATCGGGGTGAAATAGGGGTGAAATGGATGCGACAAAATCAGTAGACATGATGAATCTCTCCCCACGTCTACGTGAAATGTTTTTTGACAAAAAAAATTCATAGCAAGACATTTTTTCCTTTTCAAAATGACAGATTTTTGATTTTTTAGCCATCATCGGGGTGAAATAGGGGTGAAATGAATGTGACAGAATCAGTTGACATGATGAATCCCTTGTTTCATCTACCTTACGTATTTTTCGACAAATAAAATTCATAGCAAGACATTTTCTCATTTTCGAAATGACAGATTTCTACATGCACAGCAATGAAAAATGAAAACTATTTTCTTTCTGATTGAAATTCCGAACTTTCAATAAGGCCTATTCGTTATCTTGGGTAATAGTTCGGCATTTTTCCTGGTGATGAAAAATCACTCCTGCGCTAATTTAGAATAAATTCCTGATATTCCGCGTATTTATTCTGTCCGGCCTGCTTTTGGTGATCATTTTTCTTACTGGCGCGGACGTCTTGCTGGCTTCACACCGGTATTTTCACACGGTTTCTTGGAGGGCGGAGGGCACCAAATTATATTTGTTAGGGTTATCATTGATGAGCATCATAGCTTGCTTCACCTATATGTAATGTGATGTTCAGGTATTCTATGATTCTTACGTTCCAATTCAATGACAATACTTTTCTCCAGACGAAGTCAATTCAGAGGACAGCAAATCGATCCTGGAAAAACTGGAAAACATCGACAGCGAGACCGACAACTTCGACATAACGTTCGTCAAGATGGCGGACGCGCGCTACGCAAGAAAATGGGGCGTCACCAACCTGCCGGCCATCGTTTACTTCCGCAGACGCTTCCCCAGCATCTTCAGGGGAGACCTACATTCCGAGGCGGACGTGCTGGAATGGCTGCGGAAGAACCGCTTCAGACAGCCCGAGCTCAACCTCTTCATGTACGCTTTATTAGCCATCATCGTGGGCTTCTTGATTTACACCGCGTTTCTCCTTCAGTGCTTCAAAGTCACGCCGACCACCACCATGGTGCCCCATGCCAAGCAGAGCTAACTTTGTTCTCTTCCATAGGCGGAAAATGATTATTTACTGTGGTATCACTGACATAAACTACTATAAACTACTATCGTGAGATTGATGAAATAAACCTCTGGTGCGCTCACTCTTCATTTGTTTCGTCAGACTGGTTCTTGATATAAACAATTGAATTTCAGACGATGACGTGGGGTTCACATATCGAATGTTAGATGGCGTGATTCTTAGAACTTATGATCAACATCAGTTCTACCAACCTTGATGCGGCTAAATCGCAAAATGTATTCCCTATCTTCATTGGTCACAATTCGGTCACAATTGTCACATTGATGCCTGTAATTTTGGTACGGCACCAGACTAAATCAAGGAATTGTAAAACAGGAAAGGATTGAAGTGCGTACACCAGAGGTTTATTTCATCAATATCGTGAGTAAATCCTAGCCTCCATTCGTTCATTTATGTCCTTATTTCATGTTCCACCCATGGACTTTGACTCATGTGAACGTCTTTTCTACGTCATTTTCATGACTTTTAAACCACACACAAGATCGATTTGGCCAGTGGCCCACATGATTCATGCGAATTCACAGGATCTGGAGTCGATGTCAAAAACGACAGAGATTTTTGGGTTGCTGGAGCATGACTAGTAGCGGTATAAAAGTTAGTTTAGGTCAGTGATCTGTATGAAGAAACCATAACCTCCCTCACGATAAGAAAAAGCATTTTTTGTTTCAAATTTTCATTCCTGATAGTTTTTAAAGAATAAATCAGCAAAGAAATAATCCCGTTCGAATTTATGACAGCGGTTTTCAAGTTTTTCTGCCAGACAATATGATTCTTATATTTGGATGAAACGATTTCGGAAGCATTTCTTCATTGCTGACCAATATTCTGTCACTCATGGATTATAAAATCCCGGACCAAGTATCATCAGCGGAAGTTTGTAACTTTTAGTTGGGAATTCATTTCCATGGGAAAAAATGGGTGTAAATCTTGTAAATAAAGTTTTTAATAAACTGACATACTTGTTTTCTTCCACTGTGCATTACTCTGTAGGGTCTGATATCACCTGAAGAATCCCAGAAGAAACTATCTGAAGCTCCGTGCTGGAAATGGCTGCGGAAGAACCGCTTCAGACAGCCCGAGCTCAACCTCTTCAGCGCTTCAAAGTTACGCCGACCACCACCATGGTGCCCCATGCCAAGCAGAGCTAACTTTAATCTTTTTCATAGACAAAAAATGATTATACCTGGTGACACAGGAGACCTGTAACAGCCTGAAGATGACAATTTCTTTCAACCACCTGTTTGATTGGAAGTAGACCCATCTTTTTTTGGTTTTAATGGCACCCTGTATATTTCTGTAGTCTATCTTATTCTTTTAGAAATGCTCTATTCAACTATGTATCACGATCATTCGATATTCGTTCATTAATTGGCTGTTAAATTGCATTTTATTGAAATACATGAAGTTGGCTGTGGCCCGAATACAATGACATTTCGATGCTTGATGGGCTTAGAAATCCAAAGATCATCACTTAGACGATATCATCAGAATATTTTCCATACCCTGATCGGTCCCAGAAGATTGCCAATAATTTCATTGAGTTTAAGAAAACCTTCCGAAAATAACTCACAATATTAGGACGATACATCAATTATTACTAGTGGTGCCCGCGAGAGTCTCGTTTTCGAGAGTCTCGCATGGTCTCGTCTCGTTTTCGAGACAAGACTCGAGACGAGACTCGGACTAGACGAGACGAGACTTTCTTTGGTCTCGTCTCGAGTCTTGTGCAAGACGTCTCGTGCGAAAGTCTCGCAGGTAAATATTTCTGCGTGCCGACAGCAGACTTGAGAATTTCATTCATAATACAACATATTCAGAAAGAATGCAGACTATTTAGCACAGATAGACAAAACATTTCATTCATAAATACTTTGAAAACACAATCCATGATAAAACGACGTAATGCGTGAAACGAAAACGGACTAATCTCTCTCTTACGGCGGAATAATGTTGGATTAAAGTTTTTGTTTTGTTTATTTGTTTAAAATATACATGTTACTTTTTATTTCATTTTTATTACTTTCGAACATATAATGCTGTGTTTTTCCTTTTCAATAAATAATGTTATTTATGTTGTGATTTTCTCTTCCTACTTCTAAATTATACGAAAAAAGTTGGTGAAGATGAATATCCCGTACTAGACTGGAACAAGATTATGCATGACGCAATTGCGATACATTTGCGAGACTCTCGTACGAGACGCGAGACAAGACTAGACTCGAAGCTGCGAGACAAGACTCGAGATAAGACATAATATTTCATCGGCGAGAAAAGACGAGACTTTATGAAAGTTTCGTCTCGTTAGTCTCGTGTGAATCACTAATTATCACAACATTCACTTTCATGTATCCAAATGGATGATCATATTATGGCTATACATGGCAAAGATGAAAGACAAATAGTTTCTTTACAAGTAGCCAAATGAAAAAAACTGAGTTTCTATCTTAGTTTTCTCAATATCGTGAGTTATTTTCGGATGATTCTTTTCAACCCAATGAAATTATTGGAAATCTTCTGGGACCGATCAGGGTATGGGAAATATTCTGATAATATCGTCTAAGTCATGATTTTGCAAAATTCAATTCAACAGCCAATTAGTAAACGAATATCAAATTGTGATACATAGAGGAATAGAGAATTTCAAGGCAAATAAGACAGGCTACAAAAACATACAGAGTGCCATTCAAAAATAGAAAGTTGGGTCTACTTCCGGTGAAACAGATGGTTGGACAAAATGTTCATTGGGTTGAAGTGAAGCGTCATCATTGATAATATAACCCTTGTGAATTTTAAATTTTTATCTCTATAAATAAAAAAAACTACAGGCTGTTACACATGTCCCCTGTGTCACCCAGTATGCTGTGGTATCACTGACATAAACTACTATCTACTACTATCGTGAGTGAATCCTAGCCTTCCTTCATTATTTCATGTTCCACCCATGGACTTTGACTCATATCAACGTCTTTTCTACGTTATATTTTCATGACTTTCAAACCACACACAAGATCTATTTGGCCAGTGGCCCACATGATTCATGCGAATTCAGGATCTGGAGTCGATGTCACAAACGACAGAGATTTTTGAGTTGCATGACCAGAAGCGGTATAAAAATTAGTATATTTCAGTGATCTGTATGAAGAAACCATAACCTCCATAACGATAAGAAAAAGCATTTTTTGTTTCGAATTTTCCTGATTGTTTTTTCAGAATATATCAGCAAAGAAATGTTTCAGTTCGAATCTATGACAGCAATGTTCAAGTTATTCTGCCAGACATGATTCTCATATTTGAATGAAACGATTTCGGGAGCTTTTATTTATTGCTGACCAATATTCTGTCACTCATGGATTATGTAAACGAGGTGGTCTCTGATAAGCAATTAACCTATCTTGATCACTCATTTATTAACCTCCCAGCGAGCACAAAAACATCTCAGAGATGTTAAAAGTACGAGATTTCGAGACATTGAACCTCCACTGCCATGTTCTGTTATGTCCTTGATAAGTTACAAAACTACCTTCTCCCTAGTTCTTTTTAAAGCCTTTTCATGGACACAACAAAACATTTTCAACGCGTCTTGCTCACATTGAATCGCTGTAAAAAAACATTTTCGAGGTACTTTTCTGAAGCATTTTGTCAAAATGAACTTTTGCATTTGGATTCCATTTCCCTTGAATGAAAAAATGCATTAAAAATAGATTGAACATAAAAATATTTTCTTGATATGAAATTACCTTCTTAATCGGTTTCTGAGTAGTGCTTACTACACACAGACATATATAATTGGAAATAGGATTCCCAATTTTTGAAATGTTCTCCACAATGCATAATTTTGCAACTGCGGAGAAGCTGTGTATTGATAAATTCGTACTTTTATATATTGATTACACTGAGGCACCGAACAACACATCTTGCATATGATGGTCATTATTGCAAACTAAATTAAGTCTTCTAACACAATAAACTTCACCAAATTCCTTTCTGTTCGTTAGCAGCGAGATGTAAGCGTGACACGCTACAAACGCTAATGCCAATTGCGAACAAGAAGAACAAAATCGAAAACAAATCAGAATTCATCGTATTGTGACGTAAGCATGAGACATTGTGGTGGGGCAAACAAAGAAAGGGCACAAAAGAACAAAAACAATACTTTCAATATCCTTCTAAGACCTCTTTGGGAAGTGCATATTACGCCTCAAAAAAACATCCTCATGCCTACATTTCTAAAACATCCCAAAACATCCCAGGGATACCTCTCAGTAGGCAAACAAAGAAATGCCACAGAAGAACAAAAACAATACTTCAATATCCTCCAAAGACCTCTTTGGTCAGTGCATATTACGTCTCAAAATAATTTCTTTATGCCAACATTTTCAAAACATCCCAAAACATCCCAGGGATGTTTGTGCTCGCTGATGGGTAAGATTGATACTATTAACAAAATGCGATAATTGATAGTTCTTCGTACAAAATATTTAATGAGTACATGAGATTAACAAGAAATTATATCAATAGACAAATAATAGTAGCGACCAAAGATTCCAATATTCAAAACAATGATATACTGGGTGATGGTACATTACACAATTATAAAATCCCGGACCAAGTATCATCAGCAGAAGTGTGTGACTTTTAGGTGGGAATTCATTTCTATGGGGAAAAATGGGTGTAAATCTTGTAAATGAAGTTCCTAATGAACTAACATATTTGTTTCCTTCTACTGTGCATAACTCTGTCGGGTCTGATATTATACCTCAATAATCCCAGAACAAACTATCTGAAGCAGACGTGCTGGAAATGCAACGTCTTGAAAAAATGCCGCTCGTTTGAGAACACCCTGTACAGAAGAGAATGAGCTGCCAGACATTTTGATGCTGACCAATATTTTGTCACTCATGGATTATAAAATCCCGGACCAAAATCGATCAGCAGAAGTGTGTAACTTTTAGAAGAAAATTCATTTCCATGGGAGAAAATCGATGTGAAACTTGTATACAATCTTTAATGAACGATTTGTTTTCTCTGCAC